TGTACAGATTTTGCACTATGTCCCGTACTTGTAGCATGCAATAATACTACGATTATTATAACTCTTGTCTCTAGTATTGTAACTTGATGAGATGCCTTATTATATACAAGTTAGACTGTAACCCATAGTGGTAACGTCCCAACATTTGTTGGTATGTGCTCTAGACCGCCATCCACTGTGGACCGTCTAAAATACAGCTCCCAATTCAGGTACTATTGTAATGTAAGTTGTTAATAAATTTCAATTTATGCTTCGTTACTATAAATTAATAAATATTACAATGTTCATCATGAAGATCTAACTCTGGCGTAACAGTTTTCTATTGTCGTCTTTCTCCGTTATTACTAAAACTTCGCATTTGAATGTGTGTGTGCGCGTGCGTGCGTGAGCGCGCGTGCGTGTGTACGTATGTGTGTGTGTGTGTGTGTGTGTGTGTGTGTGTGTTTGTTTTAGCTAATATAGATGCGCAGCAATAATGGTACAATCGAGTTTCCAAGGGTTTCTCTCGCATGTCTTCACCAACATTAAAAGGTGCAGTTGGAGTAAAATACAACGTAATAAATTCAAGCGCAAAAATCTCACACTTGCCGAGATATTTATTCATTATTCGCTCAAGATGCGCTATAGCTGTGCGTACAGGATAATGATGGAACGTATGGATTTTGTGACAACTTATGTTACATGCTTCGTGCAGCAGTATGCATCCCTCTATGCGTGGAGAATTCTTTCTCCGGCTGATCAATAAGAATCACAATGATACACAAAAAATGTAAAGCAGAAGGAGCGGATTACAGCGCCACCGCACGGTTATTCCTGTCATTACACAACTCTCCTAACATTATTATATATATATATATATCCAGAGCGGGATTACAGTCAGAGAGCCGCATGGCGACGTTTGTATCGCGATGCGTAACCATGGAAGCTATACGTTATAGTTAGTCCGTGTCACAGGCACTTCGAAAGTGTGCCAGTAAAAATATCGTGTCCTAAAGTGTACCGCTGCATGGGTGTCTATAGAAGTAGTGCAACGAGCGGCGAAGCGGCCATTTCTTATGTTAGAGTTCTTACGTTGAGTTTCTGAGTGTTTAGTAATCTTAGGCCTACATCTTTATTTTCAGGTTAAGGTTAACTGATTGCGTTTCAAATGCCTGTGCTCTGTGTCGTGTCATGGATTCCACAACTTGTGTCACTCTTAATCCATTCTCAACATTCCCGTACATCATCGAAATGTCAAGTTATCGCGAAAAACTTTCATATACTTACAGAGTAAAATAACTGTACACCATCACCTCTGACATGACATGCTTTTGCTCTCCTACATCATGCATTTAGAGAGCGAGTGTGTGAGTGGCATGAGACATTACTGTTTTGCTTTCGAGTTTTGTACGTAATTGAGACCATTGGTTAGTCATCGCAACCTCAAATAGGGATAAAATATTGGCAGTGTCAGAGCATTTTGGCGTCTATAGATGGTGGGTAATAATAAAACTTGTCGCATCGCTATTGCTAGCACACCGTTAACATGTACGTCTATGCGACATGTACAGATATGTATAGCTATATGTATATATACATAGCATGGGTCGCCATTGTTACAGCGACGGTGTATATCGTAATAAGTGCTAGGCTCTAATTCCACGTTAGTTTTGACAACGCTTTCCTTGGTGTTCGCTGCATTTACATGTCAATTTTGTTCACGGTTTACGTTTTTATATTATATTTTTTTATTATTGTTATTATTTTATATCATTTTATTATATATTTTTATGTTATATTGGCGAGAAACTTCGGCGCGCGAGTTGCTAGATTTGCAAAAAATACGAGATTCTGGCACGCGAGAGTGTTTATATCGATTATTTATGGGACAAGGATAGACTTTCTTTGTGTAGAGAGTGAATTTATCGCGAAATGGTGGGACAGCGAGACATCATTCGATTCTAACTCCGCGCTGGCGCCCAAAGCAGCGTTTGCTCGTTTAACATCCATTTTTACTCGTTTTGAAATATTAACGAAGGCGCAAAGAAAGTTATCGGTCAATGCCGTGTGACGGTAGCTATAGGCCTACTGCAAGAACGCCCGCTACGCTACAGAAATGCTTATTTGCTGCAACTCCACTAGGATCCATAAATTTTTCCTTCCCGAAGTCGCCCCAGATTTATTGCTGCGAAAATTTAATTTGCCGGCTGATCAAATACTGGCCGATCGCCTGCGATATCGGTCCGCAGAACGAATTATTCTTACTGCGGGAAAAACGTTTAACTGTCAAGAAAACTAAATTACCGAGCGCTGTGCTAACCACCCTGCTCAGTAAGTTCACCTAATGAATTCGAAAGCATAAGGTGGTCTTATATATATTTAGAAGTCCACGTTACGGCTACGATACTATGTTATAAATCGGAGCCGCGCTGTACGTTTGACCCCTGTATGTGTTCGACCCCGGTATAAAGTATCAATTTTACTTCGGTCAAATTATATTAAAGAAATGCCAACAGGGAATTATATTACCTAAAACAAGATTCGTTATAGGAGGAAAATTAACGAATGAGCTCTCTAAGCTTTCTAAATAAGAATGTGATCAAATATAATGTGATGATGCAATTAAAGTATGATATAAGGCAGTGATTATACCGGATTAGATCAGATTGCGTGGGAGCTGTAGCTCTAGTAAGCCAATGTTTCACCGCACGTCTTCGATCCAGCGGGCTTACAGGAACTACGGGTTAACCAACGACAAATACAAGACACTGTTTGTAGCGTTCGTCACGTTAGCTATGGTTCCTAGTCGACAACCTTGGAATAATTGCAATTCTGAGCACCTTTTGACGTGTTACATGTGTAATCTTATCAGAGTGAGCAAGTCTAAAAACACGGCATAGATTCTAATCTATTATTATTCACTCCTGATAACGTCATACAATTCAACGACTTTAACAAAATTTCTACGTTTGACGTCATGATTGTCAGGGATCTGACACATCACCTTATTAGATTCATTCACCTTATAGACCGTATTGTTATTGCATACACATTGTCTGCACGATCAGCAATAACATAACATCAGGAGCGTATAATGACAAATATACGCCAAATATTTGACGTAATATACGCCAAATATACGACAAATATTTGTCATTATACGCTCCTGATAACATGTCATAGCAGTGCGGTGCGTCAAAGAGAGATAATATACAACAATATACTGTCTAACATCATGAGATCTGCTGCTAAAAACAATCAAGGTGAAATTCCCGTCAGCCTAGTGACAATACGGTAATGCAGCAAGGCACTGATGTTTGTCTGGTCGCAAGACTGCCAGGAAAAATAAATGATCTGAGACCCGAATCCTTTCTAAGAGTCTGTAGGAGAGGGCTAAAAGGGATTTGAACATCAACAGCCCTTTGGCGGGCTGTAGAGTGGCTTTTAGAAGGGCAGTGAACGTTGGGAAAAGATAAATGATTTCTTTCTAACAGCAATGCTTCATCGAGGTACAATCAGGAATGTCCGTCGCCTTCTTGGGATTTAAAAAATAATGGCTGAATGGAGTTAGAAACCAATTTACTAATGAACGGGGGAGATTACGTGTGTGGGGAGGAAATGCTGCATTCTTGAAAACAGTAGCAACACGATAGATCTCAATCTATCGCAGGCAATATAGCAGCGTTGGCTAGCAGACATGGTACATGTTCCGTATAAACGATTATTAAGAGAGGTAACAGCAAATGTTTCCACATTTCCTATACAAAAGCCGTAAAGTCAATCGATATATCTCTAAATACACTTTGATAGAAATAAAATGATATTTAAAAAGCAAACGATAACTAGTATATAATTACAATACGATAGCACAGGAAAAGAGTGATATAAATGCCACTATTTATTATAAAAATAAACGCAATACGAGGTAATAATACGTCATTTTACTCGTCACTGCGCGTGTTTGTCGACACTCCAAACAAGTGCTTTTTAATTATGGATAAAGTCCCAGCATGCAAAATAGTGCGCATGTGATTCCGTTATTTGCATGCGTGCGAGCGCGTGCGCGCGCGTGCGTGTACGCATGCCCCTGGGTTGGCTTGATTGAGCTGACTTTTACCGCTAAATTTAACCGTGTGATGCGAGGCCGCATTTGGCATCGAGAAACAGTAAACTACTTAAAATGTTTAGAAGTGATGATCAAGAAAGCACACATAGGTAGCTATGTTCTAAACAAAGAAGCAATGTTAGCGTACGACCGGGTAATGCCATTCCCTATAAGCCTATCATGTGTTCGTCGACATCAACGTCATAGCTTACGGGAGACCATAGTTCGGTAAAGATAAGACAATACTGAGAAAGGCTATCGTTGTCGCGTATTATAATTGGGCACGTGTCTACTTAACGCGGCATATCTTGCTGAAAAGAAAGCCCGTGACGGCGTGCTGGTGAAAATTGTGTTTCTGAATTTGTAAATGCTTAAATGCCGTGAGCGCGTATACTTTCTGATAGGTGGCGCCACGATGTACTTTTTTGCTAGCTTTGTGGCTTGGATACAGAATAGAATAACTTTCTATTCGGTTTTCTATATTCGGTAAAATAGCAAAGCGACGCTGCACGAATGTGAACGAGAGAACAGATAAAACCTTACACGCAATAATAACTATTTTAGATTGCACGGTCCAATCATAATGTCTACGCAAAAGAAGTTTCATGTTAAACGGGGAAAATGAAGGACGCATGCAACTGGAACTGTATTATATCAAGAGTGCATAATAGAGATCTCTATTATGCACTCTTGATCATATCTGTATTGTATTCTATGTATTAACGTGCAAGTACAGTGAAAGCATTCGTTTGCGACTAGAAATTGTTCACCGCTAACTCGGGACATGTTTACGGTTGCCTATAAGTGCCGATAGATTAGCAACTACTGTACTTTTTACTTCCAACAGTTGTAACGGCTTCCAGTGTACTATAGTACTGTGGTATTTTTTAACTTGGAAAACACTCAAGCCAACACATGAGATTTCATGACATGGAATTTTATTTAAAAGCAGCAGAACTGAATAGAATAGTTGACGCAGTGCCAAACTAGATGGCGCCACACACCAAACACTGCCCTTGCTTCATTTACACGAATTTGTCATTTATGATTTTTGATACAGTCACCGAATATCCGACCTTCCAACACAGACGCACGCACACACACACACAATCAAAGCTATTCCAGACAATTGTGCATTTCGATTTTCTCCAGTAAGGGGTTTTTTCCAGACAGATACCGGTTGAGCCTACAGTGATGGCTTGCCTAAGTGATGGGCCAGACCCGTGTTTCTCTCTCACAGCCACTATTTATACTACTACTACTACTACAACAGTACAGTACAGTACGGTACAATACAGTACAGTGCAGTAAGCACTAGAATAGCAGCGCAGAGCAGACCTCTGCCAATAAATACCCACCACCCAGTTCGGATTGGACATCAAAGTACTGCGACGACACGGACAACTGCACTATGCGCACGTGTGAGACACGCACGCACGCACAGCAACAGGGCGCGGCCATCACTGTAACGTGTCGGAGCCAAACATCCAGCGTCTGCCTTGCAGTGTAAGGGTAAATCAAGCGCCGCGGCAACCATGTCACCTATCTCACACACCCTTCAACTGCCCGCCTAGCATATAACACAAAGAGCGCGCGCGCGCACGCACGCACAAGTTTCCGCCACGGCCCCGGAGAGCGGGGCGTCGTCGCCGTGGTCACACGAAACTGTCAGCCGCACCGAACGCTCGAAATATTCCTAGCTATAAGAACTTTTCCAGAATGTTTACACCCGCGGCACAGCTCAATCGCCAGCGCCATCTATCGAGGCTATAAGGTACTTAGTAGTTCTCTAGGGGCGGAATACCGGACTCGCTTATAAAGGGGGCCAGCAAGCTGCCGGCTAGAAAATGATACAGCAGCAGCTAACAACAGCGCGCCACGTGAATTCTACTGGTAAGACAGCGTTTCCCCCGTCGGAAATGTGCGCGCTAAGGGTGCTTATGGTGTCTCCTACCCAGTGTGTGGCCTTTACTGAGCATGGCACAGCACTGCGAGGGAAAAACTCTCTCCCTCTCCGGATATTAAAATTCTGCAAACTCTCCCAAGCCCATGAAATTAAACGACCTCCTCTTGCAAAATAAAGTGTGTACATGGTCCACAATGTAATGATGAAGAAACGCTATACAGTTTACACCTTGTACGGATAATAATATATCATATTACACAATACACACACAGATATTACAGTGCCCCTGGTTATCGCATGACCTCGCTCCCCCTGCAGTGTTGAATTCAAATACACGCTACCATGGCAACAGGTGTTATTGATATGTCACCACCAACGACTATCAACTGACAACATCACAGTTTGATTCATCTCAGAGCCGTCGTCTGACGATGCCGCTGCCGCACTCAGTGGACCAGCAAGAGCAATCACATTACTACACTCAAATATTTTGTACCCAACAACTGCTTCGGGTTGCGGCAGGCTCACGAAAATCTGCGTGTGACCGGAGACTGACTGCGACTACACATGCTACTGCGTATTTCACTCTGCGCAACATTCTTCTTCCTCGAATTTACACCGAGAAGGGGACAATTTTTTGTGGAATGAGTATCCGCAGCGAGATTAGGTCGGGGAAGACGCTCACGGTACTAAACGATAAATCTGTTCTAAACACACTTACAAAAGAGTTGAATGCAACACGGATTTAACATCGCGTCGACTAACTGGGAGAACAAACACACTGCAGTCTTTCGGACGGACGAGACCAGATGGTGTCCCTCGTCCCGGGCTAGCGGTAAAAACGGCGAGAGAGTGAGCAACAGTGACCACAGAAACGCATATAACATTACAATACGAAGTGCAACATAGCGGTGAACAGAATGTGTGTCTTTACACTAATGGGAACCGACCCACACACGAGCTGGACACAGCCGGCAGAGCAGGCAGCGCGCTCACCGCTCACTGCCAGCCGCCTACATCCAGCCTTGCACGTCTGTCGGGAATACAGTATCATCACTTCAATAATATTTAAGAACCGTATGTATAAATCAAGAATGACTGTAATAGAAGACAATAACACACTAACGTCTTGACAATGGCTGCCATGGTTACGCGCTGATGCCGGCGTGATAGCGGCTAAGCAATGAACGCGGGAAGAGATGCAGAACGAACGAACGGTCGTTGCATCGGTCGAGTGACTACTGCTGGGAAAGAATATCCAAGTCTAAAACCCATCCAAGAGCTGTGAAGCAGGAGACTAATTACTGAGTTCACCGTACGAGCGATCGCACTCGTGGCATGCACCGCATCCTCCCCCACCCCAACCCCCCGCGCGCGTACCACTTGGGATACGTCACTATGCTAGTAGTTACTGTCGTATCAAAGCAATACCCATCCCCGAAACTGGGCAGCGAAAATTCCGTCTCCAGTTATGCCATGCCCGAGTGTCGCGACACCGACTTGTGTGTTGCCTACGCGCTTGCAATGCCCGGAGGTTAATGCCATAGCAACTGTTGTCAAGGTGACTTAATAATTATTTTTCTAGGTGTGAAGTTATGATGCCTCCTGTTCTTTTTGTTCGATGTCCTCTACTTGCGTACTTTCTTTCGTCTCTCCTTCGCCTGAAACCAAAAAGAATTATCAAGGTTGTATTAAGAATTAAGAAGTTGTATGCAAATTAAAACAACATCACACCCATTCATTACAATACTATATGCAATTGTAAGCCAACTTTCCTGAACATCATCAGATTTCAGGTTATTTGTGTAAAATAACTGTGAATAAACATTATGAAATTATCCTCAAATTAAATTACTATATTATATACATCACTAGACAATCTGCTTCTGCGCAAGGAAACTGATGACCCAGAAATTCCACGAGCGAATACAAATTTTGTTCAATAACACACTAATCTTCAAAGCAGAACACAAAGTGTCAAAGCAACACCCTGATGTGTCATCAGCGAGTGCTCACGCATATATGAAATGCGCTAATAACCAGACCATGACATGAAGATTGCATTACTGCCCTCAGGAGATGAGATATATGCTGTCTATCCACTGCACACACCAACCAATCATCTATAGCTACATGCACTGCTAGCATTGCGTAGAACGTAAAACATTGGAGTACTGAGAGTGGTGCAGCTGAAGCTGCGCGTCAGCTTTCATATTTGTGGAGAAGATCGAGCGAGAGCTCTTTACAATGACTCAGACTACTCAGACTACGACTGCCACGGCTACCCCCATTACCCCGTACCGCTCGTCACTGCACGACGATAGCAACAACAGCACCTGCTATTCTGGTCACAACCTCACCCGGGGAACTCGCGAGCACGCGAAAAAAGCCATCTCAAGGTCGCCTTGCATGTCCACAACGCCATATCTCAGTATTCGGCAGTGTCCCAGATTGCCCCTTATCAATAGCTTCATGACGACTGCGGAATCTTGGTAGCTCGATCTCCTCGCTCTTATTACCCCCTCCCCAGCCCCCCTCACAGCCACCGTACCCTCCAGCCCTCCCTCCGTATCTCACAGCCCCCTCCACACACGCTCGCGCGCACGCACGCACACACGCTCACTCACCGTCGCCCTGCATGTCGGACGTCCACAACGTCAGGTTGTCCCTCAGTAGCTGCATGATGAGTGTGGAATCCTTGTAGCTCTCCTCGCTCAGCGTGTCCAGCTCGGCGATCGCGTCGTCGAACGCGGCCTTCGCGAGGCGACACGCGCGGTCCGGCGAGTTCAGGATCTCGTAGTAGAACACGGAGAAGTTAAGCGCGAGGCCGAGACGAATCGGGTGCGTCGGCGGCAGCTCTGCAAACAAACGAAGACGTGTGACGCCGGGAACAAGCGGACAGCCGCGTTCGTGACGCCGAAAACAAGTGGCCAGCGGCGCGACGCCGAGAACAAGTGGTTAGCCTCACAGTAACGCCGAGATCAAGTGGCCAATCTCAACGCAATGCCGAGATCAAGTGGCTAGTTGCGACATGAAGCCGTGAACAAGTGGCTAGCCATCACGCGACGCCGAGAACAAGTGGCTAGCCATCACGCGACGCCTAGAACAAGTGGCTAGCCATCACGCGACGCCGAGAACAAGTGGCTAGCCATCACGCGATGCTGAGAACAAGTGGCTAGCCATCACGCGACGCTGACAAGCGGCTAACTGCGTCCCGACGATAAGAACAAGTAGACAGCCTCAAGGCAAGAACAATACAAGTAACTAGTTGCGATGTGAAACCGCGAACACGAGTGGCACGACGCGGCTGCGTGAGAGAGGTGGCGCCACGAGCACCAACCCGTCGCAATTCTATGGCGTCCGCGACGAAGTCAAATCGAAAACCATGCGTGTTACGTTAGTCTTAACACGACAACCAGCACACAATATCACTGCTACCAAGAACGAGGCAGATACACATCCTATACGCCGCTACACGAAACCTCGATTACCACTACTTAGAATAGTCGTATATGGTAAAACATCGTAAAACAGCATATAGATTAATGTAACGATACGATGGTAAATGTCGCATGATTCCACTAGTGCCATCTACATACTAAAAAATACGGATTTGAATTTCTTGAGGCTAAAATAAAACTTAAAATTCCCACTGATGCTCTTCAGTCGTGTAAGAGTGGTGCAACCATGCATGTTTTCTCAAGTATTTGCGTGCGTGCGTGTCTCAGTGTGTATGATCGTGTGTGTCTGTGTGTGACCGTGTGTTTCCAGGTGTGTATTTGTGCATGCGTCCGTGAGTACATATGTATACATCCACAGTAACGATACCTGAACGTAGCGCAATCTATTGCGATAATAGCCGACCGAGTACAAGAAAACAACACATAATTTTGCTTGATACCCAGGCACCAGCACGTTACCAACTAGTCTTGGCTCAACTCTTAACACTATATACACAGTAGGTACATGCATGCTTCACAGCAATAAGGCAAATCAACAAAGAGACTACAGCCTAGCTAAATATTAGACCATCTAATGCAGTGCAAAATCAGTAGCAAGCAAAATGCCAGCAACACTTGATCAGCTTCCAATGCTATAATAACACACCAATAGAGATGTTCGCACAGCAAAATAAACTCAGTGAAGCTCTGATGGATAGTGCTGAACAGAGTAAAATCATCAAGGGTGAAAAGTAAGCGACAAAGCAAATTTTCTCCATCAACATCTGACATATGCCTGCGGTTATTAAAGTAGATATCTCGATAAGCTAGGTAAATATCACAGCAACTGTGAAAATAAAACCAGTGGCAATAAAATGATATATCAACTAAAGATAACAAATGTCAGGGTTTTACTTTACTTCAGGCGTGGCAGACATTTGCCAGAGAAGCAAGCATACAGGGTATTGTACCACGTATAACATTATCTAACAGTAATATGACTACTACCTGCACCCGTAACCACTGTATACTTACAGCACAAGACTACAGCATACAGTTATACCATGGTACAATTCACCAGTCCAACCAACTCGCACAGCAATACCCACAGTTTTGCGTATTAACTGCAACAACTTTCCGTATTAACGTTTTATCCGTAGACTGCACAGACGAAAACAGGGTATAAAGGCATGTTTTCTCAGACGTGAACTCACTCACTAAAACCACATTCACAGCAAGACAAGAGTTGCCAAAACCGGGGTGGGAAGGCGACGGCCATCTCCTAGCAAGAACGGCACGGCGCACGAACGAACCGACAAACGGACTGGCCATCCAACGCCGATCAAGCAGGCAGGCGAGCGCAGCACGCTAGCACATACACAGCAACAGGCGAAACGGGGGTACCTGTCATGGCGATATCGCTGGCCGCCTTGTAGGCCACTAGCGAGTTTTCGGCAGACTCCTTGCGATCGCTGCCAGAGGAGAACTCGGCTAGGTACCGGTGGTAATCTCCCTTCCTACAAACATAAACAAGTGTGACCAGTAAACAAGTGGCGCTTGACCAAGATTACCTGTCATGGCAATGTCGCTGGCAGCTTTGTAGGCAACAAGCGAGTTCTCAGTCGACTCCTTCTTCTCGCTGCCATTCGCGAATTCAGCCAGGTATCTGTGATAATCTCCTTTCCTGTAAACAAATACCCAAGTCAATACAATCCTCTCTGCAAGCATCCATCCACCCATCACAACGTATTAGCCAGCGAGCCGTGCAGCCGTGATTTGCACGGTCAGTTTTGAAACTGCGCGGCCAAAAATGTGTAGCATGGCCTAAACTATTGATCTAAAGCCGTGTACATTGTAAAAATTGCACTCCCAAATATTTTTTCTGCACTCTCACAATACTCATTCCTGGCTAATACCCTGACCCATCCCCTCAGCTTATAAACAGGGCTCCTCAAAAGAAAAACACTAGGGAAACCGAGAGGTTGCGATGCATGTTTAACTAGACAGGAATTAAATATTAGACATTGACCCCATGTTCTTTACTTCAACTTGGATTGGTTCAGTTTTAGTGAAGATTAAATAAGAAATTTAACCAGACTAGTGCTGACTGTGCTGTGCTCACCTTTTGTTTAAATCATAATTCCCATGAGTTCTCATTAGCCTCGAGATCAAAAGTCATTTGCATGCCATCAGAATTTTAAAATCAATAATAAGTTATATTTGGTAAACTCTGCCCGGATATAAACAACTCCAGCTGTCTATAAACAACTCCAGCTGTCGAGTAAATTGCAAAATAATCAGATTGCTTTTACAGAATGTTTCGGATTCGAAAAGGTAAAATTCATGTTCTGGGAGTAGAAAATTTGTTACAAATATCGTAATAAACAATAGTGATCACAGAACAGGCAATCAAGGAGTCAACGCACCCGTCAGATGCACGCCCCACCCAGTAAAACAAATAGAACAAACACATTGATCAATAATGACATGGCAATGCCTGGGGTACACATGCTGTAGTATAGCACACACAAACATCGCTGCCACACTATATTAGATTGGCTAACAACCGATGTCTTAGTATATACGACTGGAACACATCTGAGGCTGAATTATGGTAGACCCTAATCAGGTGACAGTAACGAGCTGACAACGCCCACACAAACTAGATGTGGCCATCAATTTGTGCCATGTACTCAATGTATGGCTCACTGCACACCCTCAGTATTTAATTGCCATTTACATCCACCTCATTTAACATTTTTGTACAGGTATTTACCATGTTACAACTCCCAGCCATAAATGAGCGAGGGCGATGAAAACCCGTGCGATTTCTTCACTGCAATTACCCTGCAGTGCACTAATTCGATTCGGCAATATTAGAGGAAAAGCATGCGTGAGCGCAAACACATTCTATTAAACATTCTAATGCTTAGACTGCGGCGGTCCTGTATTTGGAAGACAGACGCAATAACTATCATAGAACACCCTCATATCCTTACTAGTAATATAAGCATAGCCAGCTTCTTCACTATATTTTACAGCAGTTTTGGCAGAAATTCGTAGGCATTATATGGTCAAGCAGGGTTCATAGTAGTAAGACACACGTTGAATGAAATAAGGACTTATAAGACACTTTCTGGAGGCCAAAAAAAGACTTTTCTTTAGGGCTGATTTCCTGCTAGATTACCGTCTATTAACGTACACTAATAATATTTATATACACAATTGCACGCAGATTTATTATACTGTATTATTATATACCACAATTCTTACTCAAGTCGAGAACAGTTTTTATAAACAGATTAAAAATAATAAGGACTATTAAGTACTTTTCTAAGATTTCGACCACAACAATATAAGTAGCTAATAGGGCCTTATTTTATTTTTGGCATAAATAATACTTTATAAACTTTGGAGAGACCCGGCTAAGAACCCTGTAAACCATTACATTCTAGTGCAACCCATTTGTAATCCTGGGTTGTTTGCCCCTGCAACGTTTAAAGTTTACTTGCAGTAGGAACAAGATTTTGTACTCTTATATCTAAGGGCAAGAGTACAGCAGCAATCTAATCTCGGTTAAGAACGCAGTCTTCTAAAACAACTGTACTGCACCGAAGCAGCACGCACTGGTACCTTGATGTCACCCACTTCCCTTACTCACTCAAAGGACAGTTCCTATGAGTCACGGGGGCGTACCTTTACGCGACAATAATTTGTCAAATATGTTCCCAGTAGCCAGGGGTGAACGAACAGAGGAGAGCATTGTGAAGTACTTCTCATTGCGCCTCGTGAGATGGGGGTCTAAGTGCGTTACGCATCCGTATGCGACACATCAATACTTCATGGCGGGAACAAGCGAGTGGAAACCTGTTCTGGCGAGTAGGCCACAAGTGGGAGACCACAAGGGCAAAGAGGCGGAAAGAGATATAGATGAGCACGGGAGACAAGAAGAGGAAGAGAAGAGGAACAAAGCGAGAGAGACAGAGAGAGAGAGAGCGAGGAGAGAGACGAGAGAGAGGAGAGAGAGAGAGAGAGAGAGAGAGAGAGAGAAGAGAGAGAGAGAGAGAGAGAGAGAGAGAGAGAGAGAGAGAGAGAGAGAAGAGAGAGAGAGAGAGAGAGAGAGGACGAGACGAAGAGAGAGAGAGAGGAGAGAGAGAGAGAGAGAGAGAGAGGAGAGAGAGAGGAGAAGAGAGACGAGAGAGAAGAGAGAGCAGGACGCAGAGGAGAGAGAGAGAGAGAAGAGAGAGAGAGAGAGAGCGCGCGAGACAGAGAGAGAGAGAGAGAAAGAGAATGAGAGAGAGAGAGAAAGAGAATAAGAGAGAGAGAGAATAAGCGAGAGGGAGCGAGGGAGAGGGAGAGGGCGAGAGAGAGAGAGCCAGCCATCTCGGGGGTCATTTTCTCCAAATAATAGTTGGGGTTTGAATGCCAAATGCACTTTTGATTACAACAGATGTCAGATCCAATTTTTAACACACTTCTACATTTCTCCAGTAATGTAGAGACCTCAACTTGAGAGCTTACCGATGTATGTCACGAAGTCACTTCAACCAACAACCTAATGACCTATCCATTTAAGTTACAGTCTACCTGAAAACCTGAAATGATTCGCTAGTACTCCAGCTACAACCACGTCGAGACCGATTAGCTACCCGACAGTCGCTGGAAATAATTATTCTCAACTTTTTGTGGTAACCTTCAGCACTTGAGCGCACTAATACAGGGCATGAAATTCAGATTCTTCTGCACTGGCCCAGAGGGCTGGTATTGGTAACAGCAGTTTTTTTTACCAGCGCTCACCATAATGTACCAGCCCTCACAAATTGTGTTTGTTGTTTGAACCAGAAGGGACATAAAATAAGACTTGGAATAATAATAAAAAAAATCCTTACAAGCCCTTAATTAGTCTTTCAAAATAATGTCCGAACGATGTCCGAAGTGTTTTTGTCAATGTCACGTTTCATGCTTGCATTCTCGATTTCAAATTTGTAAAATGTTGAGAAATTATGGCGTGATATCCTTCAGGTAAAACAGTAATGTAGGCTATTTGCTCATTAATGCTATAAATAACAAGTGGCCGCAGAGCAAAAGCGCTCAACTGTCGTGTACTGTAGCTGGGTATTCTTCTGATAAACTCACTGGCAACCGAATCTAGTGCGCACTCCCGCTACCGTGTTGATAGGCTTTGCTATACCAGTAGTACAGTAATAAAGATATATAGCTGTGTCAGGGAAAAAATAAAATTTATTTTTTGGGGGCTACTTTTTAAGCTCGCGTGCATGAAAATAGCACTCTAAAATGTGGTTTGCATTGAACTCTATGCAAATTTTAGGGAGGCTCTTTTTGGCATTTCCGGGGCTCTTTTTGGCATTTCGGGGGCTAAATCGCCCTGAGCCCCGTGTATTTTTTTCACTGATGCTGTGTAACTTTAATGACTTCGCTATATTAAGGTTATCATGGATATGCGTCGAGCGCGAGCGTAGTGGTGGTGGTGGGGGGAGGGTGGAGAAAGGGGGAGGGTGGCAGTAGTGATGGGAATCGGCTGGAATTTCATAATCGATTATCGATTTCCCTTAACCGATCGATAATCGATTATAATCGGATAATCGGTTAATAATAGCATAGATTTAATTTAATCTTACTTTGTATATACAATTATACATAGCATTCAATATTATCATGTTTTATGATCATGTATTAACTCTGTGAAGGTTGCTGTATGTATATCAATGTCTGCTCCTATACAGTATTTAATCAATTTTAAAAGAAATGGTTCAAGAATCAAATGCCTTTATTAAAACATTAAAAGTTTTAAACAAACGTGATCAAGACTTGTTCTTTATTCTAGTAAGTAAGTTGTTTGGGTTATAATAGTTTAAGGC